ACAATATATGCAAAAGACAATTATTATTCCTTGAGATTGTTTCTTCACAAAGATTAAAAACAAACTGTGTAGATGTGTGAATATAGAGTTGGGGTGGGGGTCGATCTAATTAACGAACGTTTGCGTGAGTCGGGGGAGGGGTAGGGGGGTTTGATTTTTCAAATTTTGGATTTTAGATCTTTAGCTTGAATGATAAAAAGTTTTGGCCTATTTAAAAAACAACTTATACCGACCTTCTCCTATTTATTAAAAACAATTCTTTTTGAACTAAATCCTTTAAATCACTATTTCATACCAGCACAGTTGCCCTAAACCTAATCTGTCAATATATTTCATATTGAGGAGTATTTTCTACCAAAAAATGTAATCATATCAAGAGCTTTTAAGAAAAAATGAAAGTAGGTAATGTGAGGTATCATATCATAGGTTTTTTGACCATAGAAGATCCTGAAGGTATTTGACCTCCAAATATCAATGACCTTCGGAGGTCTAGATATAATATCAATGAAAATAAGTCATGTGAGTTATCAAATCATAGTTTTCTTGGTGTTCTGAATCCATTATTGGTATCCTTTTTTCAGTCTGTTTTTGACTTCCAGATATTAATGACCTCCGAAGGTCAAAAGGTGCAATTCTTTAAAATTTAATATTTTCATCTTAAGGGGGCTCGGAAAGAAATTAGAACAGTAACAAATCTACGATTAAATTCCTAACATGCCCCATTTGAATTGATTCCAAATTTTGACCTCAGACCAGAGGTCATCAATATTTGGGAGTCAAAAAACATTTTGAACACCCGGAGTGAAAACAGGATCCCGATTCAGAACACCAAGAAACCTATGGTTTGATACTTCACATGACTTATTTTCATTGATGTTATATTTAGACCTCTGGAGGTCATTGATATTTGGAGGTCAAATACCTTCAGGATCATCGATGGTCTAAAAGGGGCCTCGTAATGAAATCAAAACACCAAAAATCTATGATTTGATACCTCACGTGACCAACGTTCATAGATTTTATATTTTGACCGGAGGT